ATATTCTACAGGAGAGTCCAAAACCCTTACATTTCTATTAGCCAGCTCTGGCTTAGTGCCCAGGACAATTTCACTTTTTTGCTGTATGAGGGTATAATTTAACAAACAATTTCGCAATGTTGGGTATTAATATCAGCAAATAATACGAAGATAACACTATTTGATTTATTACTAGTAATATAATATGCTGTGCGCAACAGACGTTGGTACTAATCAGTAAAGACCGAGTTACATTTTAATTTGAGTTTTATGCAAATAATTTCACAGTCCTGATATGGAAAAAATCCATCCGATAACATTTGTTCACACCTTCCCCATGACAAATTTCAACGCAATCTTTTGTAGGTTAAGAAGATTAAACATTCGGACGGAATTTTAGACATCGAGACAAAACACGAATTTCGCATTTTATTTTAATTTTTTAAACAACACTAATAACAGATTATCTCTTTCGCAGATAAAACATTAGTGCCGGCTCTAAAGTCTAAGCCGTAGAGGTGATAAATAACTGGCTTCTGCGAGCTGAGGTGCACCGGTGATGTTCGCCCGCTGTGACGCTGTCTTTTAAACCGCCATCAGTCACTTCGTTTCTCACGGCCGGCCACAAGTTCACGCCTCTAGATACATTTAGAACACCTCGGCGTTGTAATCAATAAAAAGTAGAATCAGGGACGGAGCTTTCATTCAACAATGTTAGCCGTTTATGGCCCGGACTTTGAAAAACGAAAAATAAAAAGTCTTCTGGAGGTACTCTTCTGGGAGGTCATGGACAGAAAACGGGCCGAAGCACCACAGATGACGGTTGTTACTGTGGATGGAATTTTTGTTCCTTTCATCTCAGACATCTGGTGAGTTCCTAGCAAATTAATGTATGCCACGGTATCTCACAACCACGAACAAGGCGACAAGAGCTAACAAGGTCAGGGAGCATCACAATTCCGAACTACACAGAACCACTGACTTCCAGAAACCGCGGAAGCTAATGAAATCAATCAACCAAGAACTAGGCCTGATCGAGCCGTCATTGTCAGCGAGTCTCCTGATTACCAGCTCGAGTAACACCAATCCTAGGTATATACTTTTTTCAATGAATACGTAATGTACCTTATAGCAAACATTGGAAATCGATGATATGAAACAGGGGTATGCAAAATTTAACTTGCGGATTAATTAATTACAAAAATGAGCACCCCGTGATTTTCTAATATTTAGAGCAGGAGTAGACGAATTCAGTATAACTTTGGAGCCGGACACACTTTCCAAGTATCAATTACAAAATCGTTAGATAAAACAACCTAACTTCTCTAAATAATTAATGTCATAGCGCAGAGACCTTATTCAGCTAGTCAAGGAATTCATCACCGTTTGTTAAACCCGTGTTCAAAGAAACATATCAATTCGCTTCCCAATAGAAGGAGAGCAATTCTTGCCTTAAAGTCCTGATGATGGAGGCAGCAAGCATCTGTGAAACTTCGGTCAATTTCTACCAGATTACGCAGCGCAGCTTCCCAGAATAGTCATTTCATATTCAAAACCTGGTCTGAACAAGTTTGGGCCTAATCCATGAATTGATCATCAGCATAAAAAATAAAATTCTGGTTATTCAACACAAAGCCATTAATTCTTTCACAACAAAAAATACTGTAAGTTCTGTTCAACAGAAGCTTTCTAGTATTGTGGTCAGAAAGGATCATGTTCGAATATCAGTCAAGTTACTGGCTATCTTCACTGACGTGTTTCGCTACTGTTTTGATCTTTAGGCGAATGACGAGATAATACCTTCAAAAACATGACGACCATTTCTTAATTTTTATATCTTTACTATTAAGACCATCTTAAAATGTTATTGGCCTCTACATAACCTACGCTATTGAAACAGCGTCGTGGAACAATCCAAAAATCAGCCAGTTTTACTGGATACTCGTGACTGGTCTATTCATGTAATTTCTTAGTCTGAAATTTGTTGAATGTTAACATAAGCAGCTTATGAAAGAAAACTCCTTTGTTCACCCATGTTTTCGAAACTGCAGACGGGTCGAGATATAACAGAGACAGAACTACGAAGAAACGTATTTTCCCGACGAACAGGTATATTTCATCTCTAAGTTGTTCCCCTGCAGGAAAATGAGTTCATCCCATACCCCTGTAATTGTGGATTACTTTGTGCACAATCTCTACTGACTGGATCGTAATTACATAAGAGTGCGTGCTCCTGTGTTTCTAGGAAAGGTTCGTGCTGAAAATGTTTAAACTGTAACCAGTCCCATTACATACCAAACTACTAATCTTTGTTCTGAGATATTTGTCTAAAATAAATATAAAGGACTCATAATACCTGTTTCTCCCTGACCGTATATTTTTCACAGAAACCACTACTCGGATTCTGGATAAAAAGTTATATAAAGTAAAACTAAGCTGAAGGGAGAAATTAATTTTGAAGCCGAACTATCAATCAAAATCCATATAAGACGCTACAGTGGACACACAGATGCAGGCAATGCTTTATTCTTCTGATAACAACACGCAAGACTACACAGCATAACATCCCAGATCTGAGTTAATGGAAAGGCGTCGTTAAATAAACTATAAAAAAATATACAAATACAGCCCAGAAGACGGCAACACACAAATCACAGTTACTACTTTATATGAAGATGAAATTCAACTTTGTCATATTTACGTCTCTCAAAAAGAGTTGTCATACAAATTTTAACTTGTGGTACAATGTATTTATACATCTGATTAATATTTGCATTAGCACGTAAAACACGTCTAAAGTGACCATGTAATAAAGAACGAAGAAAAATAGTTTCAGACTCTACGCAGTATGTCTGTAATTCAAATAGCAATCAAACAGGTGATTTTTATCTGTAATAAATTATAATACGAAGCCAAGACGTGCACAAAACAGCAAAATAAAGGGGTCATTAGATATATATTTGTACTCGGCTGGTGCACGCTTTTTCTTGTATTGACCTGCAAAGAAGATTGCTTTCTCCATTCTTGTAAGATATTCAGAATTGGGATGTTTGAAACTGAACTGTCCCCTGAAGCACAGGGAGCCAGCCGTAAGCATCACCTTAGATTATGCCTGGTGCAACTAAAATGTTTCACCCGGTGTAGCGTTTCTCAGAGTCGAAATTCTATCCCCGGGCTTTCTCAAGATGAAGCAGAGTGCTAACACTCGAGCCAGACTTTCGGCGACAGGCCTTGAGACAGCTGAAGATACAGAGGTGGTCGCTTAATATACAGGTCGACTACATTTTACCAGATTATAGACAAACTCGATGTGTTGAATATCGATTCTTAATCGTTCTCCGAACAGGCCGGGAATCCAATACTTGACATGTTGCACTGTAAGTAAGTTTAAGTGAATGCCGTCTTGCCTAACATTGCTTCACATCCCACGGATCATCGATTACTTGCCACCCCTTTCGCTAACATGCACACTTGGGCTCCTTGGTTATTTACAGCTCAGTGAACGACACGAGGTGGCATGTTATCTGCAAATAATTCTTATATTTATGACAGCGTAGAAGAACTACCTATGAGATCTAGCGAAAACGGTCGTGTCTGCTTATGGACAAGATAAATCTGAAGATTATTGTATCTACCGACGTTATAGCTGATCTTACTTCCTGCATTATCCTGTGATCGTCACAGGGTGCTACATTTTATAAAGTCATCCTTGAGAACCTCAGATCTTACCAAAATTCATCTGATATTCCAAAAGCCACGTGAAGTCAAGTAAGTGTGTGTTAAATTCATTGAGAATACATCCAGGTCATCGATAATAAACTACATTACATCACATGAGGGGAGATTAATGCATGGCATTTGCAAAAATGTAATTAAACCGTCATAATTCATATTCGCAGATGATTTAAAATTACTGACCAAAAACCATATCACTGCCGGTTATTACACATAACTAACAAGACAACGGCGGTATTCCTGTTAACTGCACACTAACAGTTACAAGAAAATTTCACTTTCAGATGCTCACTTAAATTTGTCTCCCTCATAAGACAATTTCGTGTAATAGTAGTCAAAGCGAATCTATGCGTTCGACGTCCGTTAGAAGTAAAAGTCAAATGGAGAAGAATGAGAGGAGGCAGTCAATAAGGAAGGATACTGTCCATACCACAAACATATTTCCCAGTGACAATATTTTGTAGCTCGCTGTCTCAGTTTCTGCATTGGTAATGTCAGAAGACATCAGTCGACGTCTTCACCACCGTGAGAACCTCAAATCAATTAACTTTTGTTGACACAACATTCAGGTTCATGACATTCTCCATTAACTCTGACACTGAAAACCCGGCATAAGACAGCAATTTTAAATTCACGTCCTTATAAACTACTTCCTGCAATATCCAGTTAATTTATTCTCCACGAAGGTTTCAGTTTCCGAAAAGTGGTCTTTTTGCTAGTTTCCAACAAAAACTTCTTGTTTCTGCCATGTGTATTCTACTAGAATTTCCATGTATAGGACACATAACTCTTTCTGCTTATTCAGCAGTACAAAGAAAATTAAACAACACAATGCGCATAATCAGCAAATATTTCTTTTAATTTCTATTAATTAATTAAATTATAAAAATGTTTTAAGGAAACATAATAGAGCTTAATTAGATGTGTATCTGAAGTAATTTAAAAAGTTTTCATACCATACAATTTCTTTGAGGAAATTGATTAAATCACAATTAACTTCATATGACAGAGTCTGTACTGAGCAGATAACAATAAAATCAATTTCATCAAACAGTTTTTAAACGCGCTCTTCATATACTTCTTCTATCTTTTGAAATAACGTGTGAAATACTGAACAATATTAGACGTTCTGTATACATTTCCTTCCATTATGGCTACAACCAATAGTACAAGTTGCATTATTTTGTACGTATATGACAAAATACTATTTTCCGGTCTGCGCATCTCATATAATTCATCCCTCACTAGCTCACGTATTCTCCGAAAACAATAGCTCGGAGTCGCATCATCGGATACAAAAGAAAACAAGCCATTGATTCCTGTCAGTAAGTCGAGAAATCGCTCGCGCTGTCAGTCTTCGCAATGGAATGACACTCACTCGACTCTCTGGCTGACAACTTGTCTCATCACGTAGTTTTCTGGGGACTGCATCGATTTTTGTTCATAATGTCGAAATGCTTTTTTCCTTATCTTGTAATGTACCAGTACGCTTAGATTACTTAACGAAACTTTCTGAACTGTGTGCTTTATATAGTCTCAGATAAGTGAATGAGAAAATCCATAAAAACCTTTTCAAAATATCATACTTCTTGGGCTAAGAATCTAAATTCGAACGTCTCAGACATGAACTAGAATTGATGGCCACTCAAGAAACTACGACGTTAGTACAGGTTTGTCGTATCAGAATTAGGAAAGAATAAATTTCAACAAAGTCAAAAGAACAAGATTTGAGGTTTCCACCACAGTAAGTCTGAAGATGGTTGTGTTCTGGGTTGTTGCGCCGTGTAGTCTGACAGAGGTTTACTGATGAGTCGCCCTGTGATGGAGACAGCAAGGACCTCTGAAACGTCGGTAAACTTCTACCAGACTGCACGGCGAAAAAACCCAGAATGATCGCTCCATTTGCTTGTTTTCATGAAGATCATTTCAACATTCCGTGACGTTGCAATATGAAGGGAAGTATAATTTGTATACAGACAGTTGAAGCAATTTCACATTTTCTAATATAAAAAATGTTAATATAATTGAAACCTCACTTCCTTTAATATGTATTTAAGACAAACATGAAATATATATTAAACTTCAATTTAAGTAATGAATATTAATTCAGATTGATGATACGGTAAGACAGAATCAGCTTAAGATCGACTAATCCACTAAGGTGCCAGCTAATGTAAGAAACTGCAGCAGAAAACCGTTAATGGGACCAGCAGGGTGGATAGTAGTGAAATTTGCATATGAATTAGACTCCTATCCAATATAAACACCAGCCACGTTTCTCATGGTTAGTATGGAGATGTCAACGGTCTAACTTTCTTTTCAAATGTGGACTTACTTTTACATCGTCCTTTTTACTTTAATTTTATGGTAGAACATAAAGTAAATCGATGGATTTTAAAACATGAAAAACTAATCTTCTTACCTTAACTTTGTATTGAAATTACATCAGAGGCTTTCAGAGTGAAACGTTTCAAAAGCAGCTAGCGTACTGAACTGGAGAGAATGATTTCTGAGGACATCAAAATGCGAAGGCATCGACGTGCAAGTAATCGACGATTTTAAAAAAAAGTAAAATGGTTATTTTGTTGCCGAGACGATTAAAAACTGAGCGGAGTTTTCGTTTTTACAATGAGAAAGGATTGAATACGGAAATAGAGGTAACAGTGTTTTCTGCTATATTTATTTCTCCTTGCTGGAAG